GACTAGGACCTGATGGAAAAGTGCATTTCTATTAAGTCCATAAATTACATTCTAGGCTGATAAACTGCAGATGATTTCTATTTCACCCATCTACATCTAGTTCTGAGCAATGGTGACAAGCTGCCCAGAAGTACCAAAAACTACGTGCTCGAATGTTACACCTCTTCCCTCATCAGGTATGTGATGAAGAACTACTCACACTCTCACCCCATGGAAGCAGGCACAATCATGAGGAGGAGAAGAATACATGTTGGGTTCATAGCTCTTATAATAGTTTGTTTTGGGAAACTGAAATTAAAGAGTAAAAAATACCTTGAGATGCAAAGAAAAAACTCTACATATAAAACCAAAGAGAGCAAACTCAGGTCATTTTTTTAAAAAGGTAACTTATAAGTCTTCTGAAGAATGATTTTGCCTTCCACCATGACAAATATTAAGTAGGTCCAACTTTTTACAGTGTCTACTTAGAAGCCCTCAACTATCCACAACTGTCCTAGAAAAAATCCCATTGCAAATAAAGTTGGAGGGGAGGGAGAGGATCTCTTTTAAAGAAGTTCTTTTAAAATTGCAAAATTCCTGTTTCCACATAGGGAAGTAAACTTAAACACATTAGAGGATCTGAATTCATGAGGTTTGATAGAGCAAGTATCACCTGCTGAAAAAACTCAAAACATTTTATAAACAAGAGTGGAGCAGGCCCTGGCTGGTTTGGCTCAGCCGTTAGAGCATTGGCCTGTGGTCCAGAGAGATTCGGGTTCGGTTCCCGCTAAGGGCATGTACCTCAGTTGCAGTTTGTTCCCGGCCCTGGTTGAGTCGTGCGGGTGGCAGCCACTCGATGTGTCCCTTTCACATTGATGTTTCTCTCTCTTTCTCTCTTTCTCTCTCTCCCTCCCACTCTATCTAAACAAAAAGAGGAAAAAAAATGTTCTCGGGTGAGGATTAAAAAAAAAAGAGTGGAGCAGGCCACCAAGGCCCCTGCAGAACAGACAAAAAGGAGTCCTACCAGGCTGTGTACTATGAGTGTCAAAAAGTGAAAATCAAACACCCTGCTCATTATAAGTCAGAGTTTCTCACCTCTTCCCAAGGAAAAATAGATAAATATGTATGACTGCAATCAAAACAATGATTATATGTCATCGTTTAAAAAAAAATACAGAAAGAAATACAGGAATATAAGGGGAGGAGATCATGCTAGTACCAACCTTTCACAAAGAGCAGAATTCAAGCCATTAGACATTCAAGAACAGTAGCATGCATTAGTGCCAGTCAGGCTTATAAAGCCATCTCTTGAGTTCATCAAATGTACCTGCAGCATTGGTAATAAATACTTACTCTCAGTGATTTTTAATTTCTTTGAAATGCATAGTAGGGAGCTTTTTCTGTATTAAAAATAGTGTTTTACAGTAGTAACAAATAGGGTGTTTGAAATTTAACAGGCAAGCAGTAACTGCCACAATAGCACCTTTAAAGCAAAATGGCAAGATTAGTAGTTTCCTGTACCTCGGTCATCACATTTCCCCCAACTACATCCCTGAAAAATATGTAATACATTCTATATATTACTATGACTAGTAGGGGAAAAAAAAAAGAAAAAAAAGGGCCATGTGCTTTAAAACGATGCTTTGTAAAAAGTAGCATCACCTTCAAAGGATTCCTTTAAAAACATCCCTGTCACCATCCCTCCCTGCTCCTGAACCTCCTGTGTGCTCTGTGGCACCTGGTACACCAATTCATCTGGAGCGCTTGGACCTGGCTTGCCACCTTTTGGGGTGATACACTGGGCCCGTGCTGAGGAGCAGCTGTCAGTCCTGGAGAGAAGAGTGTTGTATGTTCCCACTAGAGGAGGAGGTTGGTTCCCTGTAGCTTTGAAAGTGGATGTTGAGGGCAGACCCACTGAAGCTGTGGTGTGCCCCGATATATCCAGACGATTGGGGTTGCATACTCGGACCCAGTAATTGGGAGCGGTTCTGCGTAGGCATGATAAACTTCTTGCATGGAGTTGTAAGGATCTAGGTCAGCATAGCCTGTTTCCTTTCCTTCTTCTGGTTTAAAGGTAGACCTCTGGTGAAGTGTGACAACAATCCCTCCCACAAGCAGCTGGGCATACTCTGCAGAGTCCTTCTGCAGCATCGTGGTGACTTCTCTAGGACTCAGGTGGTTAACTTCACTGCTGCTGTAGGGAACAGGGTTTCCTCATGCTCCACGGACTTGGCAGGGAGAAACTGCTTCATTCCTTTCCACCAACCTGCCAGGTCCCAGTAAGGTAAATCATAGGGGCCTTCAGGTTTTTTCTTTCTGTTTCTCCAGTGCCAAACACACACTAATATGAGAATGAGAGTGGTGAGGACCATGACAAGGACGGAGGCCAAGGCTACGTCTTCCGTGACGTTTGGCATTACAGTTGTGTTTTTTTATATCAGGAGTGGCAGTTGTTCTGTCTGTGCAGGAAGTTCATTGTTACGGCAAGGTTGTAGTGGTTGTGTAAATTTTGGGCCACGACCTCTGGCTATTTTTGAAGGGGCTGTCGTGCTTCTGAGGTCGTTGCTGTTCCGAGGCTGCAGAGGTTGAGTAAGTTTTAGAGGACGACCCTTATGAATAGACTGACATCCAAGCAGTTCCACTTTCATGGCAATTTTCTGTTGCCATTGGGTAGGATTCACTATAATAAAACATGCAGCAATTGGTGGCAAAAAGTTATTACGCACATCCTGGTGATAATCTTTGTTTCCTTGAAATAGCTTATCCTGCTCCATACCAGGCTCTCTGTACACAGTCCATCTCTGCCCATCATTACTGTAGAGAATTCTGTAGGCCGACACATAGTAATTATGCTCCACCATGGTGGAGCCAGTGGTCACAATGCCCGTTATCTTCTTTTCCTTGTTCAGATCTATCTGTAACCACTGATACTCATCAATGGCAAAAGCAGCCCACGGAGGTCCTGGTTTCTTCAGTCTGACCTTTTTGGGTTTCCAGCTGTTCTCCTGCCCTGTGTGGTCAGTCCACTCAAGCACAGACGACACCGTGATCTGAGGATAGGCAATCACACCAGATTCCATCCCAAGAGTTCCGTAACAACCACTTGTCCTAAATGTAAAAAGACTGTAGATAAGTGTCCCACCACAGATGTAACGTTGTTAGCCAGAGAACTTCCATAGTACAGGATGCCTTTGCTGATGACCACGCTGACTGGGCCGCCCATGGCATTGGACACCACCCCTGCGTGCACTTGGGCCATGCACAGTGGCTAGGAATCTCTATATCCATGAGGGATACTTCCAGATATCTGAGCAAAAGGAAGCAGACAACCAGCTGGGCAGTACTTACTAAACTCAGGTTCCAAAAAGCTGGATGCAGTGTCTAAACAAGTAATGAGATCTGGTTTATCTATACCTGAGTATGAGGCCAAAAATCCTCATCCAGCAACATGGGTTCCACTCATGAACAGCCCCGTGATTTCATTGCTTTTTGATTGGATTGAATGGTTCATGTGCAATCCCAGACCACAGTATTTGCCTATTTCAGTTCTGCTAACTCCAATTCCATTATAAATTCTCAAGTGATTTAAATGACAAGAATCAGAATCTTCACTGTCAAAGTCACCAAATTTGATGCGCACTCTCCCATCCTTACAGGAATCTCCCATTCACAAACGGTGCTGTTGGGATAGGTCTGTGGGTAGTGGATGGACATAAGGGTTCCACTTTCAGGGCCTAGCACAGCCTGTCCACATCCATCACCTTGCTGGGCTCCGGGGTCCTCAAGCAGCAGGAGCAGGAAAAGTAAGAGCAGGAGGGACAGAGGCCAAGGGGAGGAGGAGGAGTGGGAGCGGGGAGAGGAGGCCGGAGCGAGAGTGGGGGAGCGCGGCCTCGGCCGGACTCCCGGAAGGTGCGGGCTGGGCCCTGCTCCCGCCACCGTTGGGGTCGCCACCGCGGCCGGCAGTCCGCCTGCACAGTGCGGGCGCCCCGGGAGTCCCGCGCGTCCCCGGAGGCACCCAGCCAGGAGGCGGCGGCTGCAGAGAGAGAACGAGAGGCCGAGCGCGCCTCGCCCGGCGCTGGGCCCCCCTCCGCCCCTCACTCCGCTTTCGCCTCCTGTCATCCCTTCCCTCCGTTCCCCGCCGGAGACCCAGGCCGGAGTGCAGGGGAGGGGAGGGGAGGAAGCGGGTGCTCCAGGCACGGAGGACGCTGCGGCTGAGCCGGGCAAGGAGCCGCCCCCTGCTTCCCGAGCCACTGCCCTTTTTTTTTTTATAATCCTCACCTGAGGAACTTTTCCCATTGATTCTTAGAGAAGTTGGAAGAGGGATGGGGTGAGAGAGGGGAGACAGCCCAGGTACCCTTGACCCGCAATTGAACCCACGACCCTTTGGTGCCAGAGCCGAAGTTCTAACCACTGAACCACACAGGTCAGGGCTGAGCACTGTACCTTTATTTGCATCACTAGCTGGTCAAGTTTTTCTCCCTCTCTGGTACTTACATCAGTTTTGGCAAGCAGGTGACTTCAGAAACTGATGTGAACCTCTGGTATGATAATAAGGGTCTGGCCTTATTCAACATAACTGGGGTGTTCTTCGAGGAGGTGTTTGGACCTGAACTAGCAGGTACAATCAGATATATTATTAAAAATGAAGCCTGTCGACCTCCACCCGATTCCGAAGACGGGCGTTTTAGTCCACATTCATTTGAATGTGTGGTTGTGGAAACTACAGGCGCGCTGCCGGAGGGCGCCGCCAGGGGCCGCTCGCGCACAGCGGCTGTCTCACCCCGGGCTCCTGAGGCGCTCTCTCCTCCTCTCCCTGATCTCAGCTTCCGCCGGAAGCCGTCCTGTCGGCGCAAGGCTGTGCCCTAGTCTCTGGGCTGGCGGATTGTAGTGGGTTCGCCCTGCGAGCCGGGTGAGGTTTGGCCGAGCAGCGGGAGGGAACTGGAGCTGAAGCCGGCCCTACGTGGACGCTCTGCAGTCGGAGGTTCTGGAGTCGGAGGTCCGCTGGAGCGCGGTGGTGGAGGACGGGGACTGAGCTGGTGAGGAGTCTTAGGGCGCGGGGGTGTGTGGGGCGGCGGAGAGGGAGGCTGGGAGTGGGGACTGGCACTGCGGGGTTCTGGGCGGGCGTGGGGTGAACGAGAGCCCCCCCCCCACTTCCCTGGAGCGGCCCCCCTGGTTCCCCCCTTGGCACCGTACCGGGCAGCGGTAGGGAGGACGTGGGGGAGCTGCAGGAAAGCCCAAGGTTTTGGCCAGAATTTCCTCCACCTGCCCCCTTATTCCCTCAGTTTCCACAACTGCCCCTATACCCGCTCCCGTGTGTCGATACTCATCAGAATTCTGCCCCAGTTCTCTGATCGTTCCCGTCTGGTGTTTATTAAAAAGCGTTTGTGTCCAAGTGAAACACAGAGGAAGGGCAGACTCAGGATAAGTTTTTTAAAGTTTTTGGTTCAGCGGTTAGAGCGTCAGCCCGCGGACCCAAGAGTCGCGGGTTCGATTCCCAGTCAAGGGCAAGTAACTCGGTTGCAGGTTCCATCTTAGGGTCGTGAGGTAGGCAGCCAATCCGTGTGTCTCTCTCACATTGATATTTCTCTTCCTCCCTCGGTCTCTCCCTCCCTCCCTCTCATTCTATCAGAAAAATCAATGGAAAAATATCCTCAGGTGAGGATAAAAAAAAGAAAAATAAATAATAAAAGTCTTTGATTCCTACCTACTGGTAAAACCCGGTTTTTATTAATTCCCCCCCAACACCCCCCCACCCCACCCCACCCCACCCCACTCCTCCCCAACCAGTTGATCAGCATAGTCGGGTAGGTGAGTGCTCTTGGATAGTACAGGCATACCTCGTTTTAGTGGCTTTGCTTCGTCATACTCAACAGATGTTGCCTTTTTACAAAGTAAGGCAAGACCCTCCACCAGCAAAAAACTTACTACTCGCTTTTTACAATACCCACTTTATTGCAGTGGCCTGGAACCAACCTGCAGTGTCTCCCAGGTGTGCCTGTAGAAGAGAGTATGTGTAACTGGGCATCTTCTTTCTCTGTATGTGTGGGAGACAGTCTTGACCTGTAGCTGTATAATTTTATATAGAACCAGTTGCTTCATAGACTCTATCTTTTTGCATCATAGTGTCAGTAACTTTTATATTTTGTCATTGCTCCAGCCACAATAAGAATACAGTTTTATATTTTGCTCTCATATGTATAAAAAAATTTTTTGAAATAATTCTTATCTTAGCTACATGTGATTCTATCGTTTGTCTTATTATTTTAATCCATTCCGTTTCATTTTGAAAAAAATGCTGTTTGGAGATCCCTGAATTGTTTTCACTGCCCTATGTGTAGCTGGAGAACACCCACCTATGTTGTATTCTTCCAGAAGAGACTCCTCATCTTGGTCCGTTCAAGTAATGGCCCAGCTTTTTATTGTTAGTCTAATAGTTGAAATAGTAAACACCTGTGAGTGCCCCTTTGTTAAACTGCAGAATCTTTAATCCTCTGATCACCTGCCCTAAACACGGTTCTGCCCCATGTAACTCCTCTGGTAATTGCTGGAATACCAGTGCTTTCGAGCCACGGGATTGGTGAATGTTCACAAACACCTCATTTATGTGGGAAACCCGGCGGCTCCAGGAATTCGTTGGGGCACAATGAGTAGTTTTATTAGTTGTTATGAGGATGAGTTTTGTGTAGAATAATAGTTTTCCCACACAGTATTTATTGGATGTTTCTTACATGCATGTTTCAGATACTGCACTCTGCCACAGAGGATTAAAGAGAATGTAATGCTTGATCCTTTTCTTTAGGGAACGTGCATTCAATTTCACAGAGAAACAGAAGCCAACCGGCAAGAAACCCCTCTTCTTTTCCTGTTAAAATGAATGAGGTATCAGTTACAGCTTGGGTCAAACCATCCACCTGCACATTGGATCCTAACTCATTCTTTTAGTATCAGCAGGAACCTTGTATCACTTATCCCCTTTTATCTCTCTACTGGCTTATCCCCATCAGTACTGAAGCTTACAAATGTCCTTCTTTAAAAAGGTTTTTAAGCAGATGTCCTTTTTGTTTTTAGCCAAGCTTCTTAAAATAAATTTTAATTCTAATTCCTTCTTTCACCTGCTGCAAACTAGTTTCTGCCCCACAGCTCTACCGAATCCATTTTAAACAGGAACAACAGGGATCTCCATTTTCCTGACTAAGAATAGCATTGGACACTCTTGACTGGTCCACCTCCTTCATTCTTCCCTTGGCATTTCTTCCACATAGCTTCCTGTTTTTCTTTCGACTACTCAGGCTGCTTATTTGTGATCTCTTTGACAAGCTTCTTCTTTTTTGTTTTTTAATTGTCTATTTTTTCATCTCTTAAATGTTGGTTTTGACAGTTCAGGCCTAAGCCACTTTCTCTTCATACTGAATATTTTCTTCCATTTATTTTATATTCACCACTAGTTTTCATTTAACATCTGGGTCGGGTTCTTTTTTTTTTTTTTAATCGTCACCCACAGATATTTTTCTTTTTATCTCAGATAGAGTGGGAGGGAGGAAGAAAAGGAGAGAGAGAGAAAAATTGACATGAGAGCGATACATCGACTGGTTGCCTCCCGCATGACCCCGACCAGGGATGAACTGAAACCAAGGTACGTGCCCTTGACTGGAATGGAACCCGCGGCTAATTGGTCTAGAGGCCGACGCTCTAACTGCTGAGTCAACCTGGCCAGGGCATGTGTTGGGAGTTCTCAAATGGAGCCTTTGGATGGATTCAGAGTATCCATCAGCTCCTTGAAATTTTATAAAAAATGTAGCACGTAGGTATACATATGCCCCCTCTTCCCCTTCTATTTATGATGTTACTGAAGGGATCTTTGACGCAAAAAGTTCAAGAACTAGTCATTTCTATGCTGGTGAAAATTTTCATGGCCACTACCTCCTAGCACCAATCACAGTTGGTCCAACTCCACTAACTTCTTTACTTTCTCAGTTCTTTGAGCTTGCCTTTCCTCATACTTGTCACCCCTTTCCTTGCATAGTCTTCTATAGCCCTTTCCAGTTCCTCTTTCTTTGGTGGGCAGCGAGGAGCCTTTAGAGGTTCTTGTACTACTTATGTGTAATGAAAAAACAGTGTGGAGGGAGTTTGCTGTCGTACTGATACCATACTTTGACATCTGATGAAAAGTAGATTTTTTTTTCAACATTGTACTATGAAAATATTCAAAGGTTCAGAAAACTCAAAAGAATTAACATTGAACACCCATGTGCCTACCTCCTAGATTCTACAACTAAACTTGCAATTAATATTTATTTATTTATTTTTAAATTTTTATTTTAAATTTTATTTTTGTTACAGATATTTCTCCTTTTTTACCCCACTGACACCCTCCTCCGCATTCCCACCGTCCCATCCCCAGCTTTGTTGCCCATGTCCATTGGTTATGCATACATGCATGTAAGTTCTGTGGTTTATCTCTTTCCTCCCCCCACCACCCGCTCTTCTGAGGGTTGTCAGTCTGTACCCTACTTCCGTTTATCTCTGTCTACCCTATTCCTAAGACTGTTATGTTCATTATATTCCACAAATAAGTGAGATCATGTGGTATTTGTCTTTTTCTGCTTGGCTTGTTTCACTTAGGATAATACTTTCCAGGTCTCTCCATGTCGTCTCAAAGGATAAGAGATCTTTCTTTCTTACAGCTGCATAGTACTCCATTGTGTACATGTTCCACAGCTTTTTTATCCATTCGTATACAGATGGCTACTTGGGCTGTTTCCAGGTTGTAGCTATTGTAAATAGTGCTGCTATGAACATGGGGGTACATATATTCTTTCTGATTGATGTTTCAGGCTTTGTAGGGTATATTTCTAGAAGTGGCATCACTGGGTCAAATGGAAGTTCAATTTTTAATTTTTTTGAGGTAACACCATATTGTTTTCCATAGTGGCTGCACCGATCTGCATTCCCACCAGCAGTGTACTAGAGTCCCTTTTCTCCACACTCTCGCCAACACTTGTTTAATGATATATTAATGGCGGCCATTCTGATGGGTGTGAGGAAATACTTCATTGTTGTTTTAATTTGCATCTCTCTTATGATTAGTGATATTGAGCATTTCTTCATATGTCTTTGGCCATTTGTATGTCCTGTTTGGAGAGGTGTCTATTCAGCTCCTTTACCCATTTTTTAATTGGGTTCTATGTCTTCCTTTTGTTGAGTTGTATGAGTACTCTATATATTATGAAAATCAGACCCTTATTTGATGTATCATTGGCAATGATGTTCTCCCATACCGTGGGTAGCCTTTCTCTTTTGATGATTGTATCTTTTGCTGTGCAGAAGCTTTTGAGTTTGATGTAGTCCCATACGTTCATTTTCTCCTTTGTTTCTATTGCCTTAGGTGATGTATCAGTGAAAATTCTGCTGTGTATGATGCCTGAAATTTTGTTGCCTACAGTTTCTTCTAGGATTTTTATGGATTCATGAGTCACATTTACGTCTTTTATACATTTTGAGTTTATTCTTGTATATGTTGTAAGTTTTATTTTTCTGCATGTAGCTGTCCAATTTTCCCAGCACCATTTATTAAAGAGGCTGTCCTTACTCCACTGTATGCTCTTGCCACCTTTGTCAAATATTAATTGAGCATATTGCCTTGGGTTCATTTCTGAATTCTCTGTTCTGTTCCACTGGTCTATATGCCTCTTCTTGTGCCAGTACCAGGCTGTTTTGATTACAGTGGTTTTGTAGTATAACCTGAAATCTGGTAATGTGATTTCTCCAACTTTTTTCTTCTTTTTTAAGATTGCTATGGCTATTCGAGGTCTTTTTTGGTTCCATATGAACTTTTGAAGTACTTGTTCTAATTCTGTAAAGTATGCCGTTGGTATTTTGATGGGGATTGCATTGAATCTATAGATTGCTTTGGGTAATATGGACATTTTAATGATGTTAATTCTTCCAATCAATGAACAAGGTATGTGCTTCCACTTTTTTATATCTTCCTCTATTTCTATTTTCAATGACCTGTAGTTTTCTGGGAATAAGTCCTTTATTTCTTTGGTTAAGTTTATTCCTAGGTATCTTAATTTTTTCGCTGCATTGATTAATGGGATTATTGTCTAAGTTTTTCTTTCTGTGAGTTCATCATTGGTGTATAAGAATGCCATCGATTTCTTGATGTTAATTTTGTATCCTGCTACTTTTCCAAATTTACTTATTAAGTCTAGTAAATTTTTGATGGAGTATTTGGGGTTTTCTACGTATCCTTGCCTTGTTCCTGTTTTTAAGGAAAATGCTTTTAATTTTTGCCCATTGAGTATAATGTTGGCTCTAGGTCTTTCATATATAGCCTTTATTATGTCGAGATAGGTCCCTCTATTCCCACATTGCTGAGCATTTTTATCAGAAATGGATGCTGGATTTTGTCGAAGGCTTTTTCGACATCTATTAATATGGCCATGTGGTTTTTATTCTTCATTTTATTTATGTTGTGGATCACGTGTATTGATTTGTGAATTTTGTACCAGCCTTGCATCCCTGGGATGAATCCCTCTTGGTCATGGTGGATCATTTTTTTTGGTGTATTGCCGGATCCGATTTGCTAGTATTGTTCAGGATTTTGACGTCTATGTTCATCAGGGATATTGGCCTGTAGTTTTCTTTCTTTGTAGTGTCTCTTTCTGGTTTTGGAATTTGAATTATGCTGGCTTCATAAAACGAGTTTGGAAGTCTTCCTTCTTGAATTTTTTGAAATAGTTTGAGGAGAATGGGTGTTAGTTCTTCTTTGAATGTTCGGTAAAACTCCCCCATGAAGCCATCCGGGCCTGGGCTTTTGTGTGCTGTGAGAGTCTTGATTACCTCCTCAATGTCTTCTGTTGTTATTGGTCTGTTCAAGTTTTCTGTGTCTTCCTGGTCCAGTTTTGGGAGACTATGTGTTTCTAGAAATTTGTCCATTTCGCTTAGATTTTCAAATTTGTTGCCATATAATTGTTCGTAGTTGTTCTTAACAGTTTTTTTTATTTGTGTGGTGTCAGTTGTTACTTCTCTTTCATTTCTGATTTTGTGTATTTGGGTTCTCTCTCTTTGTTTCTTGGTGAGTCTAGCTAAGGGTCCATCAATCTTGTTTATCTTTTCGAAAAACCAGCTCTTTCTTTCATTGATCCTTTGAATTGTTTTTTTTGGTCTCTATGTCGTTTATTTCTGCTCTGATCTTTACTATTTCTTACCTTCTACTTGCTCTGGGGTTTTCTTTTTGTTTGCTCTCTAGTTTTTTAAGTTGTGAGGTTAGATAGTCTGTCAGAGATTTTTCTTGTTTTCTGAGGTAGGCCTGTAGTGCTATGAACTTCCCTCTCAGAACTACTTTTGCTGCATCCCATAGATTTTGTGTTGTTGTGTCTTCATTTTCATTGGTTTCCAGGAAGTTTTTAATTTCTTCCTTGATCTCCTCGATAACCCATTCATTGTTTAATAACATGCTATTTAGCTTCCATGTGTTCAAATGTCTTTGTATGTTCTTCTTGCAGTTGATTTCTAGTTTCATGCCATTGTGATCTGAGAAGATGCTTGATATGATTTCAGTCTTCTTGAACTTGTAGAGACTTAGTTTGTGCCCTAACATATGGTCTATCTTTGAGAATGTCCCATGTGCACTTGAGAAGAATGTGAATTCTGTGATTTTGGGGTGTAATTCTCTGTATATATCTATTAAATCCATTTGGTCTAGTTGCTTCATTTAGAGTTTCTGTTTCTTTGCTAATTTTTTATCTACAGGGTCTATCCAGTGATGTCAACAGGATGTTGAAGTCCCCTGCTATGATTATATTGGTATCGATTTCTCCTTTGAAGTCCTCCAGAAGATTTTAAATATATTTTGGTGCTCCTATATTGGGTGC